AGCCTCAGCAACTTAGTGAGGCCCTAAGTAACTTAATGAGACCCCTATCTCAAAATAAAAACTTTAAAGGTCTAGGGATGTAGTTCAGTGGTAAAGTATCCCCGAGTTCAATTCCCAGAACCCCCCAAAAAAAAAGTTGTCAATAAAATTTGTAAGGAAAGAGTTCATTTCAATTGATCATCATCATATCAATCAATAATATACCTATCACAAATAGTTTCCCTACAACTATATTATGAATAGATTATGAATGTCATAAAATCAGGAATGAAAAACTAATGACAAACGTATAGGAAAAAAGTGAACTTCAATTTATATAAGAAAAAAAGTTTACCTTCCAAGAGTTTTTGACATGATGTATTCATCTCTTAATTCCTTAGGATAAACTGACTGATCATCTACAGTCAGATCCAAAAATACAAAAACTAAGGGGATAAAAAGGGCAGAAATGTGCTTATTAATTCATAACAACTAGAAAATTAATTAATTCTAAAATATAGTTATATGGAATAGTAGACAAATGTTTTTGATTATATTTAACACATAACCCTGAAGGAATTATTTAGCTAGGCAAAGGCATGTTATAAAACCCTTGAGAAATGATAATCAAATATCATCCTTCAATGGAAATACACAGCATTGAGCTCACAATAGTATAGGAAACCTATAACATAACGGCTGCTCACATTCATCGACCTCAGAATATTAATTAATTGCACTAATACAAAATACCCATGCAGATTACCATAGGCCCAGAACCAAAAAGCAATTAATTTAAAAACAGGCCAGTACTGACCACACTCATATTATCCTCTCTCAGACATCTCTACCTTGACCTATCTGGTATTTTATGGTACAACCATCTTGAACCTATTTATAAAGTTAAATAGCATTGTCTAAACTAATCCCTTTTATTTCTACATTTTTAAGGCTGTATCTCAAAAAATAAAATCACTCATTTAGGGAGATTCGAATGGCAGATTAGAGGATGCATTCCTAGTTGCCCAAGATTCAAGCCGCAGGAGTACTGCTTCTCAAGCGCTTGGGATTAGACCCGGACTTTGTGCGTGTGCTGACAAGCACTCTCACTGAGCTACATCCCCAGGCCTCACATTTTACTCTGCCTTAATATATAATTTATACTAGTTTGTACATAAGAAACACATAACACTACATTTCCACTTGTCCCATCCACACTTTGTAGTATTATCACCGTATATTTTAAAGCTACATGTTGAAATGCCCTCAATATAACATTTGCATTAAAAATAAAACTGTTCATTTAATAATTCAACAATCCCATCAATGCCAAATATGCATTCAGTTATGAGACATCTCATTTCTACAAAGCCACCAATCATAAATTTGTACCTGCCTATAATGTTGTGTTGTTGTATTTTGTTTGTTTTTTAATACTGTTAGTTATGGATGGACACATGCCTTTATTTGGTTTATTTAGTTTTTGATGTGGTGCTGGGGGTCAAACCCAGTGCCTCCTGCATGCTAGACAAGAGCTCTCCCACTGAGCCACAACCCCGGCCCCCTATAATGTTTTCAAAGAGTGAAATTAGTTAAGACCCTTGAGTTTCTGAGATTTCAGGTGAAGGGTTTGGCCCTCCCTACACCAACCTAAAGACCCAGCCTCTGGCACAGACCCCAGTCACCTGAGTGCACGTGATTCCAGGCTGAGGAAAAGACAGTGGAAGCTGACACTTCCCTGATGTCCACCCAGGGATGAATCCCCCTTTATACCTGTGGCTATTTATGAACTTATAGGTTCCAGTGGCATCTGAAATAGGGGAATTTGAGGGATTTTAAGAATGCTTTTCTCCTCAAATGTCAAGGTCTGCTTCAGAGACTACAGTTCCCCACACAAACCAGGAAGGGAAATGCACCCAAGTTTAGCTGGGTTGAGTTTAAGGTTAAGATGGAGAAGTGAGGATTTTAACAGGGAAACAAATCCCCCAACCAAAGGAGGCAGCCTCTACTCAGTGCCTACAGATCCCCAGGTTGCAGGTCTGTAGGCTCGCCACGGCCAACTTTAAAAAAAAAAAAAAATCTAAATTTTCAAGTTATAAAAATTGGCAAACACCTAATAAAATGTCTGTGAGCCAAGAAATAATAATAAAACAAAATTAGAAATAAAATGCAAAACAAAAAAGGAAGAAAGAAAACATCTGTTGGCTAAATGCAAGTTCACAGAGCACCTGTTTGGTCTACATTATCAGGGCCACCTTTGACCTATATGACCTCTTTCTTCAAATTAGAAAAAAAATGAATCGATCTGTTCTACAACAACCATAGTTAATAATGACATGCTATCTTCTTGAAAATCACTAAAATAGATTTTAAGTATTTTTATCACACACAAAAATGTTAATAACGTGAGGTAATTGTGGGGGTCAATGTGAACTAAGTATATTCACATACTTTTTTTTTTTTAACAACCAGAGCTTGAAGCCAGGGGTGCTCAACAACTAAGTCACATCCCTAGCCCTTTTGAATTTTTTTACTTTGAGACAGGTCTCACTAAGTTGCTGAGGCTGGCTTTGAATTTTAAATCCTCCGGCCTCAACCTCCTGAGCTGCTAAGATTACAGGCATGCATAAAAACTGTACATACATATGGGATACCATGTGATGTCTCAATACATATATACACCATGCTGTATACATATACTAAAACATCGTATTGTATGTGACAAATACATACAGTTTTATGTCAAATAAAACAAATTAAAGTTTTTCTCATTATTTAAAAAAGAGAAAAAATTTTAAAAGGTGTCCCTTAGATGACTGGGCAAAACGTGGCACACTGCCTGACCAGAAGAGACCCAATGTTGTCCCAACTGTTCCTCTGCTAAGTGACCAAAAAAAGCAAAAACTGCAGTTGCCCCAACTATAAGAATCAGACAGAACACAAAGTAGTCAGAAACAGGGAAAACTGTCAATCATAAAATGCAGTGTTGGAGACTCAGATAGCTCAGTGTGTGCTTACAAGCACAAGGTCCCAGGATCAACTGCACACACCAAAAATAATTAGATGCACTTTACAATGCTTAATATAGTTACAGTTCCCAGATGTCAGTCTGAAGATGACTGCACAAGAATCACCTTTTTAAGGACTCCCCCCCCGACCACCACCACAGTACTAAGAATCAAACCCAGGGATGCTCTACTACAGAGCTACACTCCCAACCTCTCCTTAAATTTTGAGGCAGGGTCTCACTAAGCTGCCCAGACAGGCCTTAAACTTGTGATCCTCCTGCCTCAGTCTCTCCAAGTAGCTGGGGTTACTGGCATGTACAACCATGCCAGGCTTTGTTGAGATTTTTCAAAATATTTTTTTTAGTTGTAAATGGACAAAATACCTTTATTTTATTTATTTGTTTTTATGTGGTGCTGAGGATCAAATCCAGTACCTCACAGGTGCTAGGCAAGTGCTCTACTACTGAGCCACAACCCCAGCTCCTGCTATGATTTTTTAAATATCTAGAACTACTGAATCAGAATCTGTAAGAGTGCTTATGTGAACCTCTATATTTAAACTCTCTCTCTCTCTCGCACACACACACACAAATACATACAAATACTCTCTCTCCAAATCATTCTGCTCTCAGATGGTTTCTGGGAAGTTCTGTGGTTTATTAATTAAAGATTTAAAGTTTTCCTGATCTAGGGCTGTGGCTCAGCGGTAGAGCTCTCACCTAGCATATGTGAGGCCCTAGATTCGATCCACAGCACCACAAAAAATAAAATAAAGATATTGTGTCCATCTACAGTTAAAAAATAAATACTAAAAAAAAAAAAAAGAGTTTTCCTCTTGCTCCAAGATTTGAAATCACTATGAGCTACTTTTAATTCTGCAGGTCAATTATCAATTTTTCTTATCAATCATTCTTTCCAGACTCTGCCCTAAGTGACAACTGTTTGTTTTAGATATGATATTCATGAAATTTCATAAGTAAATGTTTTTAAAATGTCTTATAAAATTTATAAAATGCTACCTGATAACAATCAACAGCTTCAGTTGCACAAGACAACTATGTGGTATTCAAGAAGGTGGGCTGCGGGTGTAACATACTGGCAGAGTATCTGCATGGACCCTGGGTTTTGATTTCCAGAATCACAAAAGAAAAAAAGAACAGAAAGCTGAGTGCTCTAAATTGAGCTCTTAGAGAAACACTCAGCCTAATGCCTGGCATGTAAAAGGAGCTCAAAGAATGTATGCAGAAATGCATAAATGGAAGAAATGAAGAAAGAAAAGATGGGACCGGAGTTGTGGCTCAGCGGGAGAACACTTGCCTAGTATGTGCGAGGCCCTGGGTTCGATCCTCAGCACCACATAAGAATAAATAAACAAAATAAAGGTATTTTTAAAAGGAAAGAATGAGGGAGGAAGAGAGAGAGGAAGCAAGGGAGGAGACAGGGAAGGAGGATGAATTAATAGCCTCCAACAACAATAACACATATATCTAAAGCAGATATGGCATAACAATCAATCTAAGAACTGTAATTTATTTTAACCAATAAGATAATTCAATTGACAACACATGGCTTTAAATAAAGCCAATCAAACCTAAGAAAATCTGTCTGGATAGAACTTTTTCATGGTTTAAAAAGGCAACTAGGGCAAAAGAATTAAATCTTGCATGCTAACTGAATTTTACTCACTTAAATGGTGTCCTATAAATTCACAAAATTAATTTTCCTTTTACACAGGAGGGGAAAGAAAATCCAGTAAACATAAGATAATAATGTTACCTTTATTTCTACATAGTGAAAGAGCAATTTCAGAATTGTTACTCAAAGGACGGCGTTTTCCTTTCCCTACAAGCTCTGTGTTTACAAAGGTTCCATTCCCACTGTGATCCTCTAGGTAGGCGATGTAAGAGTTTTTAGGACCCATTTCCTAAAATAGAGAACATTTTATTTCAAAGTTTAACAGCGGGATTTATAGTTGGAAGACATCCAAGAGCAATGACCAGATTACCAGCTCTCCCAAGTACACGAACATTTGCCACTTACCCTGAAAATCCGGAAGTGCTTCTTGCTATACGTCCGGTATTTATTTGTCATTTTCAGCAGTGGTTCATCAAAACAATAGTCACAGCTTTTATCCCTCCCAAACCAGTAGCTGTCATTAACACACTCTGCAATACAAAAGCACATGCTGGAGCTGTTACATTGCAAGTATCAACACCTTTAAAAATTGCCCACAAAATCTACTTGTAGGAAAACAGCCTGAGGTGGCAATCTATAAATTTGATTATCAAAAGTTTATAAGATTAAAAATTCCAGGGGAGGAGCCAGAGGTTATAGCTCAGTAGCACAAGGCATGCTTAGCATACTCAAAGCCCTGGGTCAATCCTCAGCAGGACTCCCCACCCCCCCAAAACAAAATAATTAAAAAACTTTGCATGGGTGGGGAACATTTAATAAGGGATGGCTAATCTATAACCATGAAGCAACATGCAGTCATTAAAACTTAGTAATTTTAATGACTTGGGAAAATACTATATAATAACTTCTGCTCATTCCCGTCCTAAGGCTTCCTACCACATTTAATATAAAAACTATACTCTTCCTTATGGCCTGATTGATGCCCAGGGTCTGGCCTCGCCTCCATTCCAGCCTCACCTTGGATTCCTATTCCTTTGCTGGCTACACCCAGCCCCACTAGCCAGGAGAAATTTGTTCTGTGGCCTTTCCCTAACTACTCAAAAGGCTCATTCCCTATTGCCTTTTGTGTCAGGTCTCAAATATCATCTCTCATTCAGTTTTCTATATAAGCAGCCTCCCATTTCACCACCCACTTGTTAGGATAATGTACCCTGCTTTATTTCACTCTATATACAGGCCATGACTGGAAGTTACCCCCCCTTCCCCTGGGACAACATAAAGCCTAGCGGGCAGCATGAGACTCTTGATAGGAGCATAGCTCCAGCTAGGTGTGATCCTGCCACCTGTAATCCCTGAGACTTGGAGGATTGCAAGTTCGAGGCCAGCCTGGGCAATTTACTGAGACCCTCAGCAATCTGATAAGATCCTCAGCAACTGAGCAAGTCCTGTCCCAAAGTAAAAAATAAAAGGACTAGGGATTATGGAAAATTATGCCTGGGGGGCTGGGGATGTGGCTCAAGTGGTAGCACGCTCGCCTGGCATGCGTGTGGCCCGGGTTCGATCCTCAGCACCACATACAAACAAAGATGTTGTGTCCGCCAAAAACTAAAAAAATAAATATTAAAAATTCTCTCTCTCTCTCTCAAAAAAAAGAAAATTACGCCTGGGTTCAATCCCCAGTGGTTCAAAAATAAATAAATAAATAAAGCTCCAGCACCTGGGACAATGAGGAAATTATCAGCAATTCATATCACAAAGGACTAACTTCCCCAATGAAGCTATTGATTCTATAAATCAATAAAAGACAAACCTGGAGAAAATGAGTAAAGGATATGAAGAAACAATTTATAAGGAAAAAAATACAAAGGGCACTAACATGAAAAGATGGCCAAGTTAACTCAAAATTGAAACTAAAAATATATTAAGTATCTATGTTTTATCTACTAGATTAATAAAAATCCAAAAGTCTCATGCTACAGTTTTAGCGAGAAGTCTGGAAGAGCAGGTACTTCACACACTGTGATAGACCCAACTTGATCTTTTCTTAAAATTGGGAGCCATCTTGCCACAAAGCCATGAAAAGATAATTTCGGCTTTACTATAAATTACTGCAAATTCTGAACCTGCTTGGAATGCCTGCCCGTGCCTTGAACTCACCCATGCCTGGCTCTCTGACCAAATAGCAGCCCTCTCTGAAACTTTAGTGACACCTCATAAATATTGGCCTTCCCTGGCCAGACAACGACCCTCTCTGAGGCTCTAATGGTCCTCATAAATTCTGATGTTGGGGCCAGCAAAACATGTAAACTACCATTAGTGTGATGCTTGTCAGAGTTCTGTTATCTGTAACGCCCCTTTGTGTAACTTTCTGGGCTATAAAGCTGGGCTGCAGGAAAGCTGGGGTGCTGTCTTGTTCCCGCCGTTTTGGGAGGGAGAGGCAGCCCGGCCAGTTGAAATAATAGGCTTGCTTTAATTTGATTTTAATTGGAGTCAGTGGTCTTTTCTTGCGTCCTGGTCTAACAACTGAACATAGGAAGAACATAATTTATACAAATTATATACAACTGTCTAGCGAGAATAATTTGGAAAGATCTATCAAAATTACACATGCAGTCACTTCACATCCACAAAGATGGCTATAATTAAAAAAAAAAAAAAAAGCTGGGCACGGTGGCACACGCCTGTTAAACCCAGCAGCATGGGAGGCTGAAGCAGCCCCTTGTGCCAGTATTTGATAATTTTTATCTCTTTAGACTTCTGTGTATTTCAATATCTGTTTCACCTAATTTTGTTGTACAGTTGTTCATATTACTCTTTTTTTAATCCTTTTAATAAATTTGAGTGTTTTTTTCTTTAGTTGTAGATGGATCCAATACCTTTATTTTATTTATTTTTTCTTAATGCAGTGCTTAGGATTAAACTAGTGCCTCATATGTGCTAGGCAAGCGCTCTACCACTGAGCTACAACTCTAGCCCTTGTCTTTTTGGTACCAGGGATTGAACTCAGGGACACTCAACCACTGAGCCATATCCCCAGCCCTATTTTGTATTTTATTTAGAGAAAGGGTTTCACAGAGTTACTTAGCACCTCACTTTTGCTGAGGCTGGCTTTGAACTCATGATCCTCCTGCCTCAGCCTCTTGAGCCACTGGGATTACAGGCGTGCACCACTGCACCTGCCTCACAGAAGAAATTTTAACAAGTCCAACAGCCCTTTACAATGAATGAATGAATGAATGAATGAATGAAAAAGGAAAGAAAAGAGACGAAAAAACTAGAAATAGAAGAGAGCTTTGTCAACTTGAGAAGGGGCACTCATGAAACACCCAGAGACATCATCACACTTCAGGGTAAAAGACTGCAAGCTTTCCCCTTAACATCAGAAACAAGGCAAGGATATTTGTTCTCACCACTTTGATTCAACATTCTACTAAAAAAGATCAATATACAAAAATCACCTGTACTTCTATATATTAGCAATGAACAAACCTAAAATGCAATTCAGAAAAGAATTCCATTTAAAATAGTAAAAAAGTAATAAAACATCTGGAAACAAATTTAACAAAAGAACTGCAAATCCTATAGTCTGAAAACTACAAAACGCCACTGAAAAATAATTGAAAGACCCATATAAATGTTCACAGAATGGAAGACTTAATATTGATGGCCTGGGGAT